TTGATACAAAGTAGTAGCCACAATAGAGAAGTGCTTATGTGAGGATTTCCATTAACATCTTTACACAAACATTTTCAAGGGTGAAAGTTGTTTTAGGTTCCTCAGGCAATAAAATACATGTCATGACTAGCTGTAATCTGGAAATACACAAAATCCAGTGTGTAGCAGCTACTTGTGTTTGGAAGTTGAATGAGAATGCTGCTTGCCTGATGGTCCAGCTATACTCTGAAGTGCTAGAGGTTGCCAAAACTCAGAGTCTGTGGAGGCCAATCACTGGCCATCTGCCAAAGCCAGTTTCATACTGGGGGGCTGCCATGCTGACTGAACTTGCAGGTTTAATTTGAGGTATCGTGTTCAAGGTCTGGAAGCTATTTAGTGTGGGTATATAACCATCTTCCATTTCATTACACAAGCACATATCCATTATGCACATGAAAAGCTTTGTAAGCAATTTTAGCATTTAGTAACTATTTGCATGTTCTTACTTTGTGTGGGAGACTGCTGTATTCAAAATCTTAGCTATACTGCTGCGAACTGGAACATCTTTCCATGACGAGTTTTAACTTCCATTAATCACACAAGTGGGTTCTGGTTTGTAAATAGAGGCTTCAGGATTTAATCATTATTACTTCCAAGTACCTGCAGCTTGGTACCTGAATTTCCCAAGGCAGCCTGCGTGTTCCTGCAAAGTGCTGCTGTAACTGACTGCAGTGTGGTTTGGAGGCTCTCACCGAGGCACATCTTGCACCTCTTCCCCCTTTGATTCACAGAGGTGAGAAGAGTTTCAGATGCACAAATGGTTTTGTTTAAAAGTGGTGCGGATGCATGCATGTGCATGTGCTTCTATCCATTCTCAGAGATGATGGCAGAGTAACAAGGAACGATGATGTGTGCATCTGCAGAACTTAAAAGGACTCAGTAGAGTAAAAAAAGTCTTAAGAAAGCATGCAGCATGTTCTAATATTAAGGAGGCTGCTGTACAAACACAGCAAATGTCTCCATAAATCCAGCTGCTGGTGAACAGTGTTGTTTGAATGTTGAAATAAATCTTCTGTTGGCTTTTCCACATTACCAAACTGTCAGTCCTGCCTTACCGTAAGGTTACAGCCAGTTTACAGATTATTGGGACCAAAAATAATGTGTTCTGCTTAATAACAACCTACAGAAGCAGTTAACATCCTCTACGTGTACCACTATGTGAACAGCTAGAAGTTGGTGAAACTCCTCCAAGCAAGCATTAGCTTAGCTGTGGTGACTCCATGTCACACAGTTGGAGTCGCCTATTTAGCAGGGAAAAAGAAACATTCACTTTGACAGATTTGGGTGATGTTATGTATCAAAAACTAAGTGCAAACTAGCAAAGATGACTAAATCACAATTTTTATCACAATGAACATGATGCTGTTTGTGCAATGAGTGTCAGATACTAAGTTCTGATTTCAGGCCTTCCACACTTTTTTCTGTGCCTCTAGTTACTTTTCTTTTTGTTATGCAAACCATGGAAATGAAGAGAAGTGGAGGTTAGGGCTATGATCCTAAAACTATTGTGCAGTAGTTTGCAAACTATTCTAGTTTGTTAGAACTGGGGGGAAGGCAAAAACATAGTTTCAGCTCTTCAGAATTATGAGATGGAGAATAACAAATTACTTCATAGTAGTGCATGATTTCAGTGGGGAAAAAAAAAAAAGCACTGTTTTCAAGATAAATCCATCACTTCCAGAGTTTGGAAAACAGGGAAGCTTGAAAGCAGTGCTGAAGTTACTGACCTTCACCTGGTGGTGATGTACGGAGTGCTGGAATTGGCTTTTCCTATTACTGAATTCCAAGCTGCTTAGCACTTCTGTAAGAGCAGAACTGCAAACAAAAAAGTGAGGGCTGTAGCAGGCTGCTGAACTGAAATGGGGAAAATCTATATGCCTTGTTTTATATATGAGAAA